CAGGTGGTCGCCCGGCCCGTACAGCGAGCAGGAGGCCGACACCGACGTCAGCTGCAGCCCCGTCACCTCCGACACCTCAAACACACACAACACACTATTTGCATCCAACACATTAAGACACAAACATTACAACAGCAAAATTAGTATTTCCAGCTGCCTCACCCAACTCATAACTTCAGTCTTGAGTAGTTCATAAATTCCCCGGATACTTCTCTGCCAGGTCAAGTTGGAGAGGTCAGTGGTTTGGTGGAATTCGTAGAGATCCATTTTCTTGCGTGACCAGTCCATGGTGTTCATGTCGTCCACAATGTTGTTGATGATCTCCTCGTTGGCCAGCAGCTCGTGCAGCAGGCACAGGCGGAACGGGTCACATGTCAATGTCACATCCTCATTTGAATAGTCCTTCTTTTCTAGCCAGTGATTCTTTAATTTTGTCTTTAGTTCTTCACTCTGAGAAATTTTAAATCATCTTATAAATTAAGCTTCATGTGAACTTCCCATTTTTATACATTAATAATTACCATCTTACTAAAAAACTTAAGCCACATCTTAAATGATAATTTTCATAAAAATTACATTGTTTTTATAATTATTGCAATCATTAAAGAATTTCAAGTAATCTGCGACTATTAAAGAACCTTTAATGTAGGATTGAACTTTGGGTCATCCATTCTGTCTGCTCGAGGGTTGAGCTGCTTCTTGACAACTTTAATCTGCACTTTGTCTTCTATCAGTATGGAGTCATCTTCCAGAGAGTCCTCCGAGTCGGAGCTGTATTCCGATGACGATGATGATGATGAGTATTCGGCTGAAAACAAACACACCTTTTAAAAAGATGCACTAACGCATTGCACAATAGAAACTGCTCTTTTCTGTGAATTTTCAAAATTCCCGCGCGTATTGCAGTTTGTAGAATAATATTTGTATGAAAGTCAATACACAACTTACTTCCACGTATTCTTTTCACCTCGTCGGCGGATGCCTGATATGAATTAACGGCACATACATCTGAATCGTCACTTTCAGTATCCGAAATTTCTATAACAGTGCTTGTAAACGGGCGCTTGGCGGGCGGTCGCGTTTGCGACGCTTCCGTCGAGGAGCTGCTGCTGCTACCGGCATCTTGCGACTCTGGCGGACTTGTGGATGTTGGTTCTTCACTATCTTTACTCGGCGAGTGCATTTTTTCTTCTAAATACTACATAATTCGTAACAAAAACAATGCGAAACAAAATGATGCGACGCCTAACCTCAAATTTTGTTGACGTTAGATTTTTAAGATTGCCAGTTGATAGCCGCTTACTCATTTTAGGTTGATTTTTTGGCAAAACGGGAGTCCTGCAAAAATCAAACAAATTCTGCCTGAAGCATTCATTTCAGCTTTGGATGATGACCTAAACATCTAAATATATATTAATTTAATTCTTTGTATGCTTTATTTTATTTACATCGCTCAATGTGTATTACTCTCCATTTGCAAGTTGAATGAAATCATAGCTTACGTTTAAAATAAAAAGGGAAATAATAAAAATTTTCATGGGAAAGCTTGGATTAAAAATCTCATTAAGTTTCCAAAAAAGGTCACAGTGACAGTTTTGTGACAACTTGTATATTTGTCCAGTTGTCATAAATTGTTTACAATTTACGTTGAGCAAATAGTCTAAATAAATTATAATTTAAAAAAGAATTATGGAGCCTCAGTGTCAATTTTACGTAATCCGAAAAAAACGTCTTTGCAGAATGACAGTACGACCCGGAAAACAATACTGCGGTGAACATAACCCGCTGCCCGAAGATGATCGATGTCAAGTACGAAAAATGCAGCACTACTTTATGTTCAGGCATTAAATAATATCGTAAATCCACGAGGCTCATGTTCAGCTGTGGACGACCATAGTTTGAAGAAAAAGAACCATGTTCGTTCTAAGCAAATATTTTTTATAAATTATGTGATAATTGTTGCTACAATCTGTTGTTGGCTCACATTTGTGCTTTACAATAACAGCCCGTATCTCACTAAATTTCTATGTTGCAGGATGACAGTCGAATCCCGTGTCCAAATGATCCAAAGCAGTAAGTTGTAGTTCATAATATATTTTTATGACAAACATATCCTTATGTTTACAAAACAAAACATCTTTCAGCACATGCTATGTGAGGCGACTGGAGAAACATCTGTCAATATGCAATGCACGACCTCAGGATGATCCAGACTACATTGTAAGAAATGTGAACTGTCCCCCTGACAGCGGAGTCTGTCCCAGGCGTCCCCTCACACAATACACAACAAACCAAATCCAACATGTCATTGACAAAATCAACTCCATATATAAAGGTTAAGGTTTTTTTTTGTCATAGTTTAGACAATTGGGTTGTTAATCAGAAGTAACAATTCAATGATAAGCAAGAATAGTTACTTCATTTTAAGACACAAAAGCTTTTATATAATTGAAAAATTTCAAAACCAAATTTCAATTGAAAGTCAAACATTGCACTTTTAGAGCACATAGAGGGCAACATTGAGAATGCACCAGAAATGCCAATACACAGCGCTGTACTGGAGGAGTTCACGAGAGTGGGTCGCACAGAAAGCTCACTGCGCCACCTGCGTCAGGCCTCCAGCATCCTGCACCTGGTCGAGGCTGAGGGTTTGGTGCAAGAGGGTACTTGCTACGTGGAGCTGGGTGCCGGAAAAGGTAAGATGTGCAGCCGGAATGACAAAATTTACTTGTCTAAAATAATCAAGTGTTATGAAACGTGTTTTATATGTAGGTCAGCTGTCTGTGTTTGCGGCGCGGGCGTGGTGCGGCGAGGCGGCCGGCAGCAGCGTGATGC